GCTGAGTGCACGGTTAACTTGCTGCTGGGAGAGGGGAGAAGGCTGAGTGCACGGTTAGCTTGCTGCTGGGAGAGGGGAGAAGGCTGAGTGCACGGTTAACTTGCCTGAGTAACTGGGCATGTGTGACCATATTGATGGCCACGTTAAGGACGACTCGGGAGAATGATGGTCCTCGACAAACAAAGCATGAGAAGGCCATATTTTCCGATGGTAGGCCTATCTGTTAAAGGTGATACATCCTGACATAATACACACTATGACTGGCCTGCTAATCTGCCATTCTGGACCTTGTAAACTGTTGAGAAAATACCCATTACTGATCCAAATGGTTGCCTAATCAGTAGGCTAGATTATTGTTTCGTATTTTTGCTGTTATTAAAATATTTACAGCCAAAACTAGAATTCTTTACTCACACAAAAAAAAACGAAATGTATTATTGCATTGTGTCGTTATAGCCTAGGTAAGATCATTTTCTGGAGTGCAGCCTGGGGAGCAGACTATCTATCCTAGGCTACCTGTCATTTCCCAATCTGATATATAATATTATAATCACTGTGTAAATTCATTGGGGTTATTCGCTGCAGTATAACGTACCACAGTATGAGTCATAATACCCATAAAACCTAGCGGTCAAACAGGGAAATGGTTCCAATCGTTTTTTACACCATTAATTTTTCCCATAGGAACCCTTCAAATAAGGGCAGTGTTTCCTGTAGGGCTTACCCTGGCGTGACGTTTTGATAACCGTGTAAATCTCTCTCGGACAAGGTGACTTTTATCAATATATTCGCCTGTACCCCCAAGAAATGAAATGCTAATTACCTGCTAATGTGACTATCATAAAGAACTACAAATGCCATGATGATCTAGACTAGACTGTGAAATCAAGGAAAAGGTAAGAATCTCTGGATTAATTATCTAATGTTATCTAAATGTAGTAATTAATAAATAGGCTACGTTTCTTTAAATGTACCTGTTAGCAAAGGTGCCAACTAGAGATGATGTGCAGGAGTTTGTAGGGATTTGTAGTCTTGCATGATGTCTACTTTGATGCTAATTAGCATTTATTTATCTGAGAGTAAATAGAGCCAAATATATTGATAAAAGTCACATTGTCCAAGAGAGATTGACATGGTTATCAAAACATCATGCCAGGGTTAGCCTACACGAAACACAGCCCTTATTTTAAGTGTTTTTATAAAATCCCCTATGGGAAAAAATGAATGGTGGAAAAATTATTGGAACCATTTCCCTATTTGACCGATAGGTTTTATGGGTATTATGACACCTCCACTGTGGGTCTTATTAGGCTAATGTTTAGCTAATGAATGGGTTGCATATGCTTCTAACTTAGGCTACACATCTCTAGTCTGTCTTCACGGTTCTCTTTGCGCAATTACACACCTGGCGTCTCTGCTACAGCTATTCGTCTTAGCTCTTGGAGTCCCAGGAAAAGCTAGACTACAATAGCTTGTTGTACACTTAATTCTGGCATTTTATATACTACTACTAGCCTATTGAGGAGAGATTCTAGCTTGCTCTTGCTTGCTGAATGTAAAATAGGGGAGTTTGAAAGGAGAGAGAGCGTGTGATGATGTGATCAAAATACACCACATGAGTGGTCTGCTAATGTACCTTTCTAGACCTTGTAAACTGTCGAGAATAGACCCAAACGGATCCAAACGATGACATTATCAGACCTAGGCTGTATGCCATTATTTCGGCATGAAGCATTCAAAACAGCACGCTTCAGTGGTTATTCAAATCAGCCTACATCACTGCACTTTACAGCCCTAAAATAATTGTGTACTAACTTGATAACAATAATACATTCCTCATTCCACTTTGTTTTTGTAGGCCTAATCAGTAGTGGAGCTTTGCACGTCCGGGACTGCAGAGCGCAACCTGGACAACGCACAGATCTGCCATTTCATCATCTGTTAACAATTTTTTCTTGCACTTTGACAGATCAATATTTATAGCCCTACTATTTAGCTCATGAATGGCCTAATATCTAGCTAATATTTAGCTTCTTACTTCGGCTAACCAACAACACATCTAGCCCCTCTCTTCCAGCTGTTCCCGTGCGCAACATAAGCTATAGGCTATGCAAGCCTCTCTGCTATTCCTCTTCTCGTGAAATGCCATGATGTAAACGATTAGCAGGATAAACAGCATTTGTTGTTGAATTGCTAAAAATTTTAAATGAGTTTCTATATTATTTTTCATTAAATGTACAGTACAAGTCAAAAGTTTGGACACACCTACTCATTCCAGTGTTTGTCTTTATTTGAACTATTTTCTACATTGTATTCTCTCAATCAGCTTCATGAGGTAGTCACCTGGAAGGCATTTCAATTAACAGGTATGCCTTCTTAAAAGTGCATTTGTGGAATTTCTTTCCTTCTTAATGCGTTTGAGCCAATCAGTTGTGTTGTGACAAGGTACGGGTGGTATACAGAAGATAGCCCTATTTGGTAAAAGACCAAGTCCATATTATAGCAAGAACAGCTCAAATAAGCAAAGAGAAACGTCAGTCCATCATTACTTTAAGACATGAAGGTCAGTCAATCCGGAAAATGTCAAGAAAATTGAATGCTATGATGAAACTGGCTCTCATGAGGACCGCCACAGCAAAGGAAGACCCAGAGTTACCTCTGCTGCAGAGGATAAGTTCATTAGAGTTAACTGCACCTCAGATTGCAGCCCAAATAAATGCTTCACAGAGTTCAAGTAACAGACACATCTCAACATCAACTGCTCAGAGGAGACTGCATTACATTTACATTTAAGTAATTTAGCAGACGCTCTTATCCAGAGCGACTTACAGTTAGTGAGTGCATACATTATTAATTTTTCATACCCCCCGTGGGAAACAAACCCACAACCCTGGCGTTGCAAACGCCATGCTCTACCAACTGAGCTACATCCCTGCCGGCCATTCCCTCCCCTACCCTGGACGACGCTGGGCCAATTGTGCTCCGCCCCATGGGCCGGCTACGACAGAGCCAGGATTCGAACCAGGATCTCTAGTGGCACAGCTAGCACTGCGATGCAGTGCCTTAGACCACTGCGCCACTCGGGAGGCCTGAATGAAGCAGGCCTTCATGGTCGAATTGCTGCAAAGAAACCACTACTAAAGGACACCATTAAGAAGAAGAGACTTGCTTGGGCCAAGAAACACAAGCAATGGACATTAGACTGGTGGAAATCTGTCCTTTGGTCTGATGAGTCCGAATTTGAGATTTTTGGTTCCAACCGCCGTGTCTTTGTGAGATGCAGAGTAGGTGAACGGATGATCTCTGCATGTGTGGTTCCCACCATGAAGCATGGAGGAGGAGGTGTGATGGTGTAGGGGTGCTTTGCTGGTGACACTGTCTGTGATTGATTTAGAATTCAAGGCACACTTAACCACAGCATTCTGCAGCGATACGCCATCCCAAATGGTATACGCTTAGTGGGACTATCATTTGTTTTTCAACAGGACAATGACCCAAAACACACCTCCAGGCTGTGTAAGGGCTATTTGACAAAGAAGGAGACTGATGGAGTGCTGCATCAGATGACTTGGCCTCCACAATCACCCGACCTCAACCCAATTGAGGTGGTTTGGGATGAGTTAGACTGCAGAGTGAAGGAAAAGCAGGCATCAAGTGTTCAGCATATGTGGGAACTCCTTCAAGACTGTTGGGAAAGCATTCCTCATTAAGCTGGTTGAGAGATTGCCAAGATTGTGCAAAGCTGTCATCAAGGCAAAGGGAGGCTACTTCGAATAATCTCAAATATAAACTATATTTTGATTTGTTTAACGCTTTTTTGGTTACTACATGATTCCATGTGTGTATTTCATAGTTTTGATGTCTTCACTATTATTCTACAATGTAGAAAACAGTACAAATAAAGAAAAACCCTTGAATGAGTAGGTGTTCTAAAACTTTTGACTGGTACTGTAGCTACATTGAAGTATCATTTGCAGTTGTCAGTATGACAATGAATACACCCTGAAGCACTGAATGGTATGAACCAGTTAGAGAACGGTGAATGGTCTGAACCAGTTAGAGAACGTTGAATGGTCTGAACCAGTTAGAGAACGGTGAATGGTCTGAACCAGTTAGAGAACGGTGAATGGTCTGAACCAGTTAGAGAACGATGAATGGTCTGAACCAGTTAGAGACCTCAAGAATGGTGTGAACCAGTTAGAGAACTCATGAATGGTCTGAACCAGTTAGATACCTCAAGAATGGTGTGAACCAGTTAGAGAACTCATGAATGGTCTGAACCAGTTAGAGAACAATGAATGGTCTGAACCAGTTAGAGAACGGTGATTGGTCTGAACCAGTTAGAGAACGATGAATGGTCTGAACCAGTTAGAGACCTCATGAATGGTCTGAACCAGTTAGAGAACGATGAATGGTCTGAACCAGTTAGAGACCTCATGAATGGTCTGAACCAGTTAGAGAACGATGAATGGTCTGAACCAGTTAGAGACCTCATGAATGGTCCAAACCAGTTAGAGAACTCATGAATGGTCTGAACCAGTTAGAGAACGATGAATGGTCTGAACCAGTTAGAGACCTTATGAATGGTCTGAACCAGTTAGAGAACAATGAATGGTCTGAACCAGTTAGAGACCTCATGAATGGTCCAAACCAATTAGAGAACTCATGAATGGTCTGAACCAGTTAGAGAACGATGAATGGTCTGAACCAGTTAGAGACCCCAGGAATGGTCTGAACCAGTTAGAGAACGATGAATGGTCTGAACCAGTTAGAGAACGATGAATGGTCTGAACCAGTTAGAGAACTCATGAATGGTCTGAACCAGTTAGAGACCTCAAGAATGGTCTGAACCAGTTAGAGAACTCATGAATGGTCTGAACCAGTTAGAGAACAATGAATGGTCTGAACCAGTTAGAGAACGATGAATGGTCTGAACCAGTTAGAGATCTCATGAATGGTCTGAACCAGTTAGAGACCTCATGAATGGTCTGAACCAGTTAGAGAACGGTGAATGGTCTGAACCAGTTAGAGAATGATGAATGGTCTGAACCAGTTAGAGACCTCATGAATGGTCTGAACCAGTTAGAGAACGATGAATGGTCTGAACCAGTTAGAGACCTCATGAATGGTCCAAACCAGTTAGAGAACTCATGAATGGTCTGAACCAGTTAGAGAACGATGAATGGTCTGAACCAGTTAGAGACCTCATGAATGGTCCAAACCAGTTAGAGAACTCATGAATGGTCTGAACCAGTTAGAGAACGATGAATGGTCTGAACCAGTTAGAGACCTTATGAATGGTCTGAACCAGTTAGAGAACAATGAATGGTCTGAACCAGTTAGAGACCTCATGAATGGTCCAAACCAATTAGAGAACTCATGAATGGTCTGAACCAGTTAGAGAACGATGAATGGTCTGAACCAGTTAGAGACCCCAGGAATGGTCTGAACCAGTTAGAGAACGATGAATGGTCTGAACCAGTTAGAGACCTCAGGAATGCTCCAAACCAGTTAGAGAACGGTGAATAGTCTGAACCAGTTAGAGAATGGTGGATGGTCCAAACCAGTTAGAGGTGAACAGTCTGAACCAGTTCGAGGTGAATAGCCTGAACCAGTTCGAGGTGAATGGTCTGAACCAGTTCGAGGTGAATAGTCTGAACCAGTTCGAGGTGAATAGTCTGAACCAGTTCGAGGTGAATAGTCTGACCAGTTAGAGGTGAATAGTCTGAACCAGTTAGAGGTGAATAGTCTGAACCAGTTAGAGGTGAATAGTCTGACCAGTTAGAGGTGAATAGTCTGAACCAGTTAGAGGTGAATAGTCTGAACCAGTTCGAGGTGAATAGTCTGAACCAGTTAGAGGTGAATAGTCTGAACCAGTTAGAGGTGAATAGTCTGAACCAGTTCGAGGTGAATAGTCTGAACCAGTTAGAGGTGAATAGTCTGAACCAGTTAGAGGTGAATAGTCTGAACCAGTTAGAGGTGAATAGTCTGAACCAGTTAGAGGTGAATAGTCTGAACCAGTTAGAGGTGAATAGTCTGAACCAGTTAGAGGTGAATAGTCTGAACCAGTTAGAGGTGAATAGTCTGAACCAGTTAGAGGTGAATAGTCTGACCAGTTAGAGGTGAATAGTCTGAACCAGTTAGAGGTGAATAGTCTGAACCGGTTAGAGGTGAATAGTCTGAACCAGTTCGAGGTGAATAGTCTGAACCAGTTAGAGGTGAATAGTCTGAACCAGTTCGAGGTGAATAGTCTGAACCAGTTCGAGGTGAATAGTCTGAACCAGTTAGAGGTGAATAGTCTGAACCAGTTTGAGGTGAATAGTCTGACCAGTTAGAGGTGAATAGTCTGAACCAGTTAGAGGTGAATAGTCTGACCAGTTAGAGGTGAATAGTCTGAACCAGTTAGAGGTGAATAGTCTGAACCAGTTAGAGGTGAATAGTCTGAACCAGTTAGAGGTGAATAGTCTGACCAGTTAGAGGTGAATAGTCTGAACCAGTTAGAGGTGAATAGTCTGAACCAGTTCGAGGTGAATAGTCTGAACCAGTTAGAGGTGAATAGTCTGAACCAGTTTGAGGTGAATAGTCTGAACCAGTTAGAGGTGAATAGTCTGAACCAGTTAGAGGTGAATAGTCTGAACCAGTTAGAGGTGAATAGTCTGAACCAGTTAGAGGTGAATGGTCTGAACCAGTTAGAGGTGAATAGTCTGAACCAGTTAGAGGTGAATAGTCTGAACCAGTTAGAGGTGAATGGTCTGAACCAGTTAGAGGTGAATAGTCTGAACCAGTTAGAGGTGAATAGTCTGAACCAGTTAGAGGTGAATGGTCTGAACCAGTTAGAGGTGAATAGTCTGAACCAGTTAGAGGTGAATAGTCTGACCAGTTAGAGGTGAATAGTCTGAACCAGTTAGAGGTGAATAGTCTGAACCAGTTAGAGGTGAAAAGTCTGACCAGTTCGAGGTGAATAGTCTGAACCAGTTAGAGGTGAATAGTCTGAACCAGTTCGAGGTGAATAGTCTTGTGTTACCACTTTATAAATAGGCAGTGTGCAGTAGGATGTGTTAATCAGTTGATTGACAGGTGTCCTGTTGAATGATAAACGATAAACGGTCCGATAGTGTGGATGTTCGCCAACGTTTATAGTTATGTATAATTTATATTTATAGTTATTATCCTTGGTGTGGATGGGCCTTTGCTTCACGTTGGCTATGACAAATGAATGTTGAATATCACAGTTAGCAGAGTGTGATTTGGCTATAGGTAAATGAATGTTGAATATCACAGTTAGCAGAGTGTGATTTGGCTATAGGTAAATGAATGTTGAATATCACAGTTAGCAGAGTGTGATTTGGCTATAGGTAAATGAATGTTGAATATCACAGTTAGCAGAGTGTGATTTGGCTATAACAAATTAATGTTGAATATCACAGTTAGCAGAGTGTGATTTGGCTATAGGTAAATGCCAACCTTAAAAAAGATGTCTATTGATTTTGAAAGTGTTCCGGTGTGTCTCTAGCTGGTCCTGTTGCTAGATATGTTGTCAGTGATTGACCAGCCATTTTCATATTTTAGTCATTTAGCAGACACTCTTATCCAGACCGACTTACAGTTAGTGAGTGCATACATTTTCATACTGGCCCCCCCGTGGGAATCGAACTCACAACCCTTGCATTGCAAGCACCATGCTCTACCAACTGAGCTACACGTATCAATAAGTATTAATATGTCAACAGTACAGTGTCAGTGATTGACCAGACATTTTCATATAGCGTATCAATAAGTCAACAGTGCAGTAGCTAAGGAAAGACCATGATGTCATGTTGATGTCTGTCTGCAGTAGGACCATGATGTCATGTTGATGTCTGTCTGCAGTAGGACCATGATGTCATGTTTATGTCTGTCTGCAGTAGCTAAGGAAAGACCAGGATGTCATGTTGATGTCTGTCACCAGTAACTAAGGAAAGACCATGTTGTCATGACAATGGTGAAACATCAATAATATCTATTACAGTTTTTCCCAATTGCTAAAACACAATTTTGCAAACTAGGCTGGTTTTATCAAAATACTTAACACAATTCACAACACCACACACCCAAACTGCAAAATACCTCATATATCCTGCAAAATGAAGCACTGCAACCAAAACTACATATAGCATTATCAAAATCAAACGTTTGCACAAAATGGCACACACTTCATTCATATTACCAGATTTTTGTCTAACCAACTACACTCTGTTGGGTATAATGAAAAGCACTGTCATCTTTAGTATACTTTGCCATAATACTAAAATAGTTCAAATTGTAGAAAATTATTCAGATTGTTCACATGCACAGAAATATTTGCAGATACACGAAGAAAAAAAAAATGTTCACCAAACAAGTCAGTGCAACATATGCACAGCAGATATATTTACATTGGACTGAACAAAAATATGCTCACAAAAAACAGTAAACTGAAAAAGAAAATTGCAGAAAAAAATGTTTAGAAAAAATATATTGAAAAAAAAAGAGGAAAGAAAAATAATTAGGCAGTATCTTGCCGCACAGCTGGGTCTGGCCACAATGCCTCGTCCACATCACAGGCAATATCTTCCCTTGCCAGACATCGAGGGAAGAAGCGCCTTGAGTGCCTTATCCATCCCTGAATCGCACCCACATCAATCTCATCACATGCCTCTTCCATAGCCTGCACAAGAAGCATGCGCACAAAGGGCTGCCGGTCGTATACCTTCCACCGCCATGCCGAAAATAACTATTCTATGGGGTTCAGAAATGGTGAGTATGGTGGGAGGTATTGCACGAGAAATGTTGGGTGGTCAGCAAACCAGTTTTGGACTGGGGCTGCACGATGAAAGCTCACGTTGTCCCATACTACAACGTACCGGGTTCTTTGATGGTCTGCATCATTCACACGCTCTGGTGGTATGAGAATGTTGTGGAGTCTGTCCAGAATGTGAGAATATGGGCTGTGTTGTATGGTCCAAGGTTGGCATGACGGTGGAGGACACCTTGCGTATTGGAGATGGCAGCGCACATTGTGATGTTCCCATCACGTTGGCCAGGAACATCTATAATGGCTCTGTGGCCAATGACGTTTCTCCCCCATTCTTCTGGTCTTTGCTAGGTTGAACCCAGCCTCAACTATAAAGATGAACTCATGTGGGATTGCATGAGCATCCATTTCCAGTACTCTCTGAAAACAAAGAACAAAAGCAGTCAATATGGTGTTATCCAGTACACTGGGAAACAATGTTGCGTGTAGTGTACTGCAGTCAATATTGCACTTACATCCACATATGCTCGTCTGACCTCTTTTTTTCTTTGAGAGTTTCTCTCAAATGGCACCTTATGAAGTTGTTTCATTCTGATTTGGTTTCGCTTGAGAATGCGAGCCTATTTGGACAGACTAACTCGTTCAATGTTGTTGAATATGGTGTTGTCTTGGATGATGTGGCTTTTTGAATTTCTCGTAATCTGATTTCATTATTTTCCAAAACCAAGTTTACAATGGCAGCTTCCTGTACCCCGGTGAACATTTGGCCCCTTCCTCCACCATGGTTGCGTCTCTCAGTCCTTTAGAAAAACAAAAAAACTAATATATAGGGCTTGGACAATGCAACCTAAAGATATTTCCCCCACAGTAGAGTAAATTATACAGGAAACTTGTGCAGCTGGTGTATGACATCATCCATTCATGAAGTAAACAGGTGGTGTCACCCAACTGATACACTATGACATGGGGTGTACTAAATAGTGTGAAAAAAAATGTTGGTTACATACCTGTACTCCAGTCTAAATGTCCGGATGACACAGGCGACAGTAAAACGGCTCAAGTTGGGCTGCACTCTCTGTCCAGCCTCTCGCATTGTCAGCCCATGGTTGATGACATGATCAACTAAGGTTTGCTCTGATTTCATTTGAAAGTTGTTGTCTTCTTTGGCCATGAACTCCTCTACCAGCTCTACCCCTACCTCTCACTCTTCCTCCCCCTCTCATTCTCACCCTCCCTCTTCCTCTTCCTCTCTCTGCAACGTCTTACATTGTTGTTATAAAACAAAAGACCTGTGGTCTTTTCATAGTGCTTACTTCCTGATTGAAGTGGTAACAATTAACCATTGAAGTGTTTGGCCAGGTGGCACATGTATTGGCCAATTAGCTCATGTAGTGTCATTTTGAATGGCAGTGTTTTGAAATGGCAAACATGTGACTTTATGTCAGATTGTTGTGTCTTGTGCAGAGAACCGTGTACAGTGCATTTAAAAAGTGCCATTTTGAATTGCAAAATGTGTGTAAAGCAGAAAATGTGTTTAGACTTTTGGAGACTTGAGAAGAGGTTTTGCTCTCTGTGTGTCAGTTGAAATAATTGTGCTGCGCATGTCATTTTAGTGTGTTAGCAATTGGAAAAAAAACTGTAATGTTGTTGACTCTGAAAAGTAGTATGACTACATTTATCAGATAAACAAGCATTCAGCATTTATGAAACATTGAAAGCTGCTTTTATGGTGGGTGGATGAGGCCAATGTTACTTTGTTTACTTAGGTTGTCTTATACCATTTCATTGGCATTGTCCTGTGGGTCCCATGTACAGTATGTTTTGCTACCTAGTTATATTTTATGAAAGAATCCAAAAGATAACTGCTATGTTTAGTATTACTATATTCATGTGGAGTAGAATTTCAGGGTTGCGCTAAGTTCAAATTGAGGAAGTGATATGAATTTCAAATCCATAAATAGCTTTTCGTTTTTTTCAGTGCTTTGTCTCTCTGTTTTTGTGTATGTGTGTGTCAGTGTGCGCGTGCGTGTGTGTTTATCTCTCTGTGTGTGTGTGTGTATGTGTGTGTGTCAGGGTGTGTGTGTGTGTGTGTGTGTGTGTGCAACAAGTCCTCACAGTCTCGTTTTCCATAAAAAGTTGAGGCATTAGTTCCAAATGGTTAAGGTAAGGGTTAAGGTTTGGGATAGGTTTAAAAAAAAAAAAAAACATGCTAGCCTCGGAACAGGAGCTGGCATTTCACGCCCGTACACCACCGCCGTCCACAACCGCCGTCCACAACGCCCGTGAAAAACTCAGGCCTACTTGATGTTAATAGCACTCACTGTTGTCCCTGGTGGACAGTTTTGGAAGTCATCTCCCGACGTCCTCCTTACCTGGGTGGACGTCGAATTTTGCAGGGGATCTTCAACAACCTGGCTGGTGTATGAGTGAGTGAGTGACTGAGTGAGTGTGAGTGTGAGTGTGTGTGTGTGTGTGTGAGGGTGTATGTGAAAAGGTGTGTGTGTGTGTGTGTGTGTGAGGGTGTGTGTGTGTGTGTGTGTGTGAGGGTGTCACAGGAGGCTGATGAGAGGAGGACAGCTCATAATAACGGCCAGAACGGAGCGAATTGAAACCATGGAAACCATGTGTCTGATGTATTTGATACCATTCCAGCCATTACCGCGATCCCATCCTCCCCGAGTAAGGTGTCACCAACCTCCTGTGGTGTGTATGTGTGTATGTGGCATGGAACAACCCTTACAAAAACAACACATGTCAAATGAGCAGTTTCACTTGTGAAAATCACATTTTCACATGTGAAATAGCTGTTTTCACATGTTGAGTTTAAATTTCACACGTGAAACCATATTTTCACATGTATTACATTTAGATTTCACATGTTAACGCCACCGTTTCACATGTGAGGAGAATATCAGAATAACTGCTGAACACATGAACTGGACTGACCCCCAACTCTGATTCTCTGCACCTTAGCACACATGCTCTCACTCACTCACTCACTCACTCACTCACTCACTCACTCACTCACTCACTCACTCACTCACTCACTCACTCACTCACTCACTCACTCACTCACTCACTCACTCACTCACTCACTC